GGCACGACGCTCCCGGGTAGACTCGTCCCCCTGGCGCAGAGTTCGATAGCCGCAGAAAGGCGACTGACGATGTGCGTGAAGCCCTGCTCATCCGCCGGCCTGTGACATGCGGCACACAGTTTCTCTCCAGCCAAATGCTCCCCCCGTGGGCACAGTTTACATGGCTCGCCGGGAGTGTTGGTGACCCAACCGCATTCCTGGCGCCCGCATGCCTTCGCGCGCGGCTTCCTCTCTCTCATGCTTCCGTCACTATCGGCAACTGCTCGTGGTCTCTTTCCATCTTGAACTCGCCGCAGAGAACGAACTCCTGGGGTAGTGCTCGCCGTTTTTTGAAGTTCAGCCTCGGCGATCTCACGTTCCTTACGGGCCTTTGCTTCCGCCTTCGCCACCGCCTGCTGCTCCTTGTAGTCCACCTCTGCAATCTTTTGCGCCAACTGCGGTTGTAGTAGAGCCAAAGAACGTCTGGCCTTGACCCTCGCCGGGCGCTTCTTCCCTGATCTTCGCCCCGAACCTTTCAAATGTGCGCCAGAATCTTGCGCCCGGCGCTTCGCTCTACTTGCCCGAGGTGTCTGTACTGCCTCCCCAGCGTTCTCACGACGTTGAGTTCCCTCTTCGCTGCCTCTCGCAGCAGCTGGAGAGGATGGGTTCTCCGTCTGCTGGCCAGCGGCCGGATGCCGCGGGCACATGGGCGGTGAACATCCCCCGACTACCGAGGGGAACAGCACAGGGGGGTGCAGCAAACCACGGCTTTTGTCCCGGTAAGCCATGGAGCTGCGTGATTGCACACGATCATGAAACTACCCTGAAAGCGAGGTTGGGTATCATCACACAAAAGAAACGATAATGAGTTAGTGGTCAGCCTTCAAGTTTTCAAAGGTGCGGTGCTCTCCTTCGCGGCACCACCTCGAACTGTAGTTTCCAGATCAACACCTTCAAACGTGCAGTGTTTTCCTTCGACATGTGGCCAGCACGAACGGGTACGCTGACTCACACATGTCGAAACGTGGATCAAATACTGAACTTAGAAGGTTGGACATCGATTTCATAGCGATAAATATGCAACACGCACTACCGTAACAATGTGTATTGCGTTGTTTTGGCCTGCTTTCGCTGTGCATTACACTCGGCCGCGCACGTGCGTGCGGATGATTACATACCAAAATATAGGTAGGATCCACGTGACATATTGAGGTTTGACCTCGTCATGCGTAGGAGTCTCTCACCCAAATGAAGTTATTCCTTTTGTGATAGGTGGGCATGTGAGCTGAGTCTGTCTATCGATCCATGTTTACTTGTGGCGTGCCAACCTTGTGTTCATGCACCCGCCGCCGTATACACTCGTGCTCATGCGTGCTGGCCACCACCCCAGGGATCCAACAACAAATTTGGCTTTTGATTTCGTCATGCTTAGGTGTCTCTGGACCAAATGAAGCCGTTCTTTTTGCAATAGGTGGGTGTGTAAGCTGAGTACGTGGAACAACTGTGAATTTTCTGCATCATGCCAGAGTCATGAAGAGGCTGAGGTGCTACTGTTGTTGGGTACCTCATGTCGGTGGCTGTCTCCTGGAGGTACGCTCTGAGTCTATTCCGGATATCAACTGCTACGCTGCATAACCGGTCCAAAGAACCTTGCTGACCCCTAGCGTATGAGTAATCCAGGGTACCGTTGTCGGAGATTGGACGCCTACGCTCCTGCTTCGCTCTCTGTCGACGTTGATGTACGATGAGCACTGCGCGGATCTCGCCGCGTGCTTGGCAGGGTTTCCAGGGGGGGGACACGTTTCCGGTGGAGGCCTCGTTTTGCCTATATGTATATATATTTTTATTATTTTGCTACGCGCAGCACTGTTTACACCCACCTCCACTACTGCCGTTCAAGCATCACCAGATCCCCCGCTGCGCGTGCATTGGCGCGCACAGCGACAGGTGCAGCGTCGTTGGTGTACCCATCACTACACAAAAACGACGACAGGCAGCAGCAGGAGGCACACTTGAGGTTGGTTTGGTGGAAGTTATCCTAAACCTGGCGTGGTTAAGGCACTTGTTGTCAGATGGCCCGACACATGATTTGTCCATTTGAACCGCTGTACGGCAGTGTAAGCCTAGGCTGTGCTTTGGCCGTGGGTGAGGGTTGGGGTTGGGGTTAGGGTTAGAGTAGATGTGGGGTGAGCAACCTAGCCTTACTTGCGTGAAGAACCTAGCCTTGCTACGTTCAACATCGGCTAGTCCCAAAGAGCTACTATCAAAGTGTAACCAAGGCGCTGTAAACCACCACTAGTCTATACCACCATGCCGCACCAGACACGCCCGCAGAGGACATTGAAAGTTTGTGTATGTGTGAGGGGAGTACAGCAGTAGACTGTTGTATCTACACAGGTGTGCAAAAATCGGATGAGACTACGATGCCGCACCAGACACGCACGCCGCCGAGAGGACATTAAAAGTTTGTGCATGTGTGAGGGGAGTACACCAGTAGACTGTTGTGTCTGCACAGGGGTGAAAACATCGGATGGGCAAAGGGACGAATTGTACTCGGGATATGTGTACCAATATCGAAATCTCGAACAACAGCAGAGTGTGCCGTTGTTCGCCAGCCATTTATTCGCCGAAGACCTTGAGGCACGTATGAGGTAGGTTGAAAAGCAACCAGTGTAACGCGAGGGAAGAAAAGGCAAAGGCTTATGTACGCCCTCTGCGAATCGTCGTGCACCTGACCACAAGAGGCTTGGACCTACAAATAGCGCCCGCACTTGAGAACTTGGCAGTTAAGAGAGACTCGAAAAACATCAGAAGCTAAGAACTTGAGCACTATTTGTGAGCCCAGTTAAGAACCCCTTCAATAAAACCTGTAAAGTAGCGATTTGTAGCCCACAAGAGGATGATCGGCAACGTAAGAACCCCAGCCTTGGCCGAAACTGGAGGTTCTTTAGTGCGGGCACCATCTGTACTGCTGTCTGTGCGGACCGCGTTTGACATCGCTGGGTTTCGTTTGAGACCATTTTAAGAATAAGTAGGAGAACGCTTCTTACTCGTCCACGCATTGACCGATGCAAGCAGGCACACGTATGGCTCGGCGCACACGATTCGGGTTTTGTGCTGTGAAGAAGGAAGAGCTCGATGACGAGCTATTCGGCACTGACACCCCGCCATCGACGGGGACATGCGCTATCAAAGGCGAGCTCAAGTCATCGATCAGGCGCCAAACGCCGAACACAAATCGAGGCGGCTCGAAGACACCCGCAACCTCCGCCGGAGGCAGCGGTCGTGAGCCCCCCGAGACGTCTCGCTATTTTGATTCTTCCCTTCCTGTGAGGGGGAGGAAACGGAAGGTGGCAGCAAGTGTCACCGGCCCCGCCGAAGGTAGCTGTACGACGGGCAGCAAGAGCAGGCGCCATCGAGGTACTGGCGATGGTACCGGAAAAGCTTCGAAGCTGTCTGCCACTTCCCCAAGCGCGACAACTGGCTTCTGCGCTGTCGGTGCCCGGCGCCGGAGTAGCCGCACACTCAACGCCGTGAAGAAAGAGGAGCTGACGAGCGCGCTCGAACTCCCAGAGCCATCTCCGTCAGATGCCAAGAGGAGGACGAAGGGCGATACCTCCACGATCGGGGATTGCAAACCCCTCAGGAGGCGGGCTGCCGTCGCTGCGAAGGGCGAGGTTTGTGTGCAGGCGTCCGAGGAGGGCAAGGGGAAGAAGAAGGCCCGGACGAAGGCCAAAGCCAATATCGAAAAGAGGGGAGAGGTTCGGGAAAGGGCTATTCCGCCGCGCTTGGCGGAGAAGGCGGCGCTGATAATCCAGATTATGGACAAGCTTTACCCGGACCCGCCCATTCCGATCAACCACCTGGTGAGTGTAGCACCATTTCTAGGTCCCGCCGCAAAGTGGGACTGTCGAGATGCACGCAGGGTGCCTTGGTCTAGAGCAGCGTGGCAGGCGCGTTCGAGAACTCGTACTCGGCCCTTGTTGACGGGCAGACTTTCGTGTTGTTGCGAAGGCTGACTCACGTCGGACACCAAGGAAGTTTGAGCAATGATGTGGTAGCCGAGATGTACTCTAAGCGAGAAAATTACGTGCTGTGTGCCCCACTAATGTATCATCCTTGCCGTGTTTTTTGCTGAACACTTACAAGTTCGATGCCATGCCCCGCTTGCCCGTTGTCATTTCGATCGCTCACCTTTTCCGAGGGCAGGATAGCTTCACGTTGCTTTGCGGGGTGCTACTCTCTGCTCAGACCACCGATGCTCAGGTACGCCGCCTTGTCGGCTCTTTCGCCTCTTGGGAAGCATGTTTGCTACAACAGGTTCAAACTACTTTGTCAAGAACCCATCCGGCAGATTGTTCTCAATACTCAGCGTAAAGACTTGAACGCAATCCTTCGGTTGAGGTATTTCTCGAACGGGCGTTGTTCGTGTGATTGTATGAAGTTCGTATTCTAAGGAGCACTCGAGACATTTTCTTCGCTTGCGTTTTTGCGGGTATTTCGACTCCTGCGGAAGAGTCACTTGTTCGTGGCACTGAGCAGAGTGGCTTCCGCGTGGGCTTTAAATATCGCAACGGGTCATACGGCAGGGCGTCTGTGTTGGGCCTGTGGTGCGTCAGATACCTTTCTATATATTCAAGACGTTCCCCTTTGGGTACGCGAACGTTTCACCCCGCTTGCACTCTTCCAAGGATTTGGGCTTTTGCACTTGTGTTTGGCAATGCGCTGTATTATGGATTCGTGCTTGACATTGCTGTGATCACACACCGCACCGATTAGGTAAACCTGGTGACGCAGGAGTTGTTCAGGGTGGCGCCGAATCCGCAGTCCTTGTCCAAGATGGCACAGGAGGATCTGCAACAGATCATCAGGTGCAGATGTAACACTGCGGTGCAGTTTTCGCGCAGCGCTTTGTTAACGTCCTGTCTTGCCGACTGGTGCAGAAATCGCGTTGACATTTTGTATGCGAAACCGATAGAAACGACGGGCGGCGGTCTTTCGATGGCATGATCACAGAAATACCGGGTCAGATGGCACGGACAGATATTTTCAAACTTTCGATGGGATCTCGCTATGTTGATATTGAGGCAAATTCACACAGCGCAGCACGTTACCGTGTTGTTTGGAACAACAGAGTTTGCTGAGTGCTTTTAATTCGTGCCTGTTGCGCGGCCGCTTGACTGCCAGATCCGTTGGACTTGCACCCACCAAGGCGAAGCATCTAATCGCGCTGTCGCAGCAGATTCTAGACCGCTTCGACGGCAAGGTTCCCCAGACCTTCGAGGGCCTCCAGAGCCTGCCCGGCGTCGGTACGTGGTGGTTCCAGGGTTTGAGATAAATTGTTCCTGTAAATGTTGTTCGAAATATCGGCTGTTTGCTTTTTGGTAGATCGTTCATCGAAGCGTGAGTGTGCGGACTCTCGTTTGTAGGCTTGCGTGGTTCTTGTTTTGACAGCTGCTCCTGCTACTCCTGCTACCCCTGGACCTTCTGCACGTTACAGCCCACGTTGATGTCTTAGCTGGTATCGAATCGATGGACTATCGCCATGTTTGCAATGCGATTCATTCGCGTGTGCTTCTTCCTTGAGCGCCTTCGTGGACTCCATTTTTGGGCTGGTGAATGGTTCAATGGGATATGTACGCCACGTTCGATCTATTAGTCTTCCCAACACTCAACGCTCTGAAACATCGTGCCGTTGAACGCTCGACGGTGACATCCCCGTGACGAACCCGCCGTAAACGTCATGCCGAGCCAGGGCGCAAAACTGCTGCGGTGGTGATGGTCCAGGCCTTCAACACCCCTGCCTTTCCTGTGGACACACACATTCACCGATTGGCCCTTCGCTGGGAACTGACCAAGAACGAAAAGAACGCCAGCAAGTGAGAGGCGTGGACGACCAACAAATGTCGTGCTTGCTGTCGGTGCATCGCGTTGTTGAGGGATGGTTTCATGGTTGATTGTTGTTCAGTTTGATGTAGGCCGTTATCAAACGGCGTGCTTGTCGTTGGTGCATCGCGTTGTCGAGGGTTTGTTTCATGGTCATTCTTGTTCAGCTTGATGAAGTAGCCTCGCGCCAACTCGTTAAGTGTTTACCCTGCTTTCAATGCTGACGTGAAAGACGTGAAAGCAGCTGAATACCTCACTCCCACCACATATATCCGTACAAAACCTCGCGCTCTCTTGTGAAGGGTGGAAGAGGACCTTATGGCCGTGTTCCCAAGAGACTCGTGGGCCAAGTTGCACCTTCAGTTCATCTACTTCGGCCGTGAACACTGCCAGGTGGGGTGCAACGGAACAGCATGGCGGAGCGAACAGTTTGTTGCATTAGTCTGGAGCGCGCGCGTGTAAAGAAGACTGTGCAGTGTTCGCTTCATCAACTATTCCCATTTATCCCATCGCAGACGCTGAGATGGTGTAAACAACGGCTGGGTCAATACGCCAGCTCTTCCGCATACGTATAAGAGGGCGCTGGCCTAGGCCTGACGGAAAACGGAACCCTTTTATTTCTCCTCACAGAGTTTGCCGTAATGATTCACATGCACGGCGTGTGACGTCAAAGGTGTGAAAAATCCCGTCCCCCGCTCGATCCTACAAGGTTCCACGAGATAGTCCGCTGTCCGTTGGCCCGTTGGTGACTCTCTTTTCGTCCGGAGTTTCAGGCTCGCGTGCACGACGCTTCGGCTTGCCCCATCTGCTCTTGGGTGAAGAAGGTACGAATCTCTGTGACAGTGATGGTGGCCATGCTGTCGTGGTTATGTGGCTTGCGTCTCTGCGTCTCTTTTCATTCTACGTGCTGAATCCGGCAGTCCTGCCGTCCACCGCAGGGACCTGCTCTGTGCTGCATGCTTTGCTGGCTCCTCGAGCGTCTTGGTTTCGGTAGATTGCGTGCATATTAGGCTACCCAAAGGCCAACATTTAGCTCCTACATTGTGGCTAGTGGTGCGTGTGCGTGTTTTTCATCTCTTGCTGTGCTTTCGTAGACTGGACCCGGCTCCCCAAAAGCGTTGGCAGAGCTGACCTGCCTGAACGACTACCTGGCATCCCCTACCCCCACCAAGAAGTCCAGCAAGAATGCCATCGTCTACAGCGAGAGGATGCTAGAGATGGAACAGGTAACCTACTGCTGCGTGTGCTCGTTGTTTGCGGCATTTCTTTTCCTAGTTTGGGCGCTGATTGAAAGGGAGATGTCGCACTTCACCTACCAGGAAAATGGTGAAGAATGGTTTCATTCGGTAGTCTTTCGCAGCGCAATCTATGGAGAACGATTCAGGCTGGTTGTGAATCCCTTGCATTTTGCTGCTACATTCCAGCGGTTGTCAAGAGTCCAACCATGCGACCCAGATTGTGCGTTTTTTTGCTGGCGGCAGATGTCAGGTGTCCTCGATGTTGTTGCACAGCTTCTGGTGTTCGTCTGCATCATGCGTGTCGGCCGCGCAGGCGGCTGCCCATGGGTGCTACCAAACTCCACCTCCCCCCGCGTGCAGTCGGAATGTATGTCGATGATTATTCACGCCACCTGGTAGTTGTGCATGATAGAGGCGAAGCCGCGGACCCGACCCCTTGTCCGGCTTGGTTTTCCTGCACAAGGCAAGGGATTCATTGTCCTCAGCTTTGTGAGTGCGGCAGAATGACGACAACAGTTGCCCGAATGGTCAAATCCGCAGAATCTTGCCGTGGAGGTGATTTGTGAAACTTTGTTTTTGCTGAAACATCTATGCCTGTGCCGTCGTTCCCGATCGTTGATTTGTTCGGCGGTGCAGTTCAGAATGAAACTGGAAGACAGCTGAGATGGCACCGACTGCGGCCAGGCAGCAAAGTCGAGAATCTTGCCTTCAGGCGACTCTCAGGCTTGTGCGGGGACCCAAGAACGCTGGAGCGCTGGAGCGAGGGTGCATCATGGAAGCTACCACGCGCTCTCACACGTTAAACTGGTTGACTGGGAAAATATGCGCTTCTTGTTCAGCAGTTCAGATCAGCCGTTGTGCTTGAGCGTTTCTTTTCATTCGCCAGGATGTCGACGAAGCGAGTGGGAGTCTGATGTACGCGGGGGCTTGAGCACAGATCGGTGGATACGTTTGTCGTACTGAACGCGCCAAAGAGCATCGCGCGAGTGACCCGTTTTGTACCAGGCAACATTTTCAAATGACGCTCTTAATTCCTGGCGGGCGGCAACAACTTGGCTGAAGTTCTACCGCCATCAGGTCAGAAATCGCGGAGGTGAAGCGTTCCTTGCTTGCTCGACGCTTTCCCTGCTGGATCTGCGATCCGTACCACCTTCTTTTCATCAGCGTTCTACCCACACGCGTACACTTAAACGTTTTGTGCGCTGACATCAAGCGCTCACGGGCAGCGATGAAATCCAGTTTTCGTTTAAGACGCCAACTACAGGTGGAAAATAAGGGCGAATTAATTGTAGAAAACGACGGGGAAAGTCACCAGCAACCTTGATGGACAGGCACCCAGTGTCGTGGGCGGCGTCTTGCTGCATCGAAACGAAAGGGCTCGGGCATCCAACAGTTCTGAGGTTTCAAATGGCGCCCCCCCAACACGTTCCTCGAGAACGGGCAATGAAGCGCATTCACATTTCAGGGGTTGGGAAGAGCCACACCGAATGAAATCAAAGTGTAATTCACTTAGAGGTGTGCGTAATTCACTGTGTGCGTACCACATCCTCTACTCAAAACGAGGCCGGTTTCGGATGTCCTTGGGAAAGAAAGAGCCACTCTCGATTTGAAGCACCGACTGTGTAGTGAGGGTTGGACAACATGCTCCCGGTGGACAACAGATGGAGGAGAGGTACTCGCACAGGGCAAGATGCACAGCGCACTAAACTACTGTAGTGCACGTGTCTTTCAAAAGTGGATCCTGACTATCGACCGTCAGACCGCCCGGCAGAAAATTACTGAGATGTGCATTCATGTGAAGATCAAGAATGACGTACGCATAGAAACCGCACCGTGGCACCAAGAACCGCGCCACATTTGTGCTCAAGTCTGGCTTGTGTGATGTGGTAGAACCGTCTCAGAGCTGGGCACAGTCGGCACGCCGGGTCGATCAAAAACTGGGTCAAAACTACCGTCGTTGAACTGAACAGTGAATGCAAAAAGCACACCTCATTCTTGCTCTTGGGACCACGACTATTACATCCGCGGTACTCCTGCTCTGCAGGAAGAACCTATTCTCGAAACAACGTGCACTGCCTATCTTCATACAGCCGTGTTAAAAGATACTCGTTATCGGCAACACTTATGGTGAAGCGCCGCCCGAGCTGCAGAGCGCGACGAGAACAACGACTCGCTCTGGCTCATAGGTTCAAGCGACTTTCAGCTCAGTCTTGCTCCCGACAAGGATGGCTGGGCCTGCGTCGAAGTAGCAGGAGCAACTGAAGCGACTCTAACAAGACACGTAGCATACGGCTTACGACATTTGGGATAATATTGCCAGGAAAGCGACTGTTCCTGTATAAAGCTTTTGGACGATCTGACCACCGAACAGCCTCCGTTGTGGGGGGGTATCGCATGATCGCATTACTGTCCGTGCGGCACCCTCATGCCGCCACTCAACCAGGCGCGTCCCGCTCCCAATCAAGATCTACACTACAAATGTGAAAGATGTGCAGGTATATCAAGGTACTATGCAAAGCTTGCAAATGCGCCTTAATGTTGACACCGCCAATTATTAGGGCGGTCATGACGCGGATGTAACCATATTACGCTGTGCAGTAGACAGGCAACGTCGTGCAATCAGCCCCCCGCCCCCAAAACGTACAACAAGCAAGCATAGTTTTCCACCGCCGTTGGTGCAATGACTTACCGCATGTTCTTGTGCATTCGATATGTTCTTCCGTCACACGGACTGGAAATTCGGGTGAAGGATGGGCCAGAAGGCAAAAAGATGAACGCAAAAAATGAACTTTGCTTGGAGGGAACCAGATCGCTGACCGTAGGTCTCATCAAGAGGAAAAATAGCAGCAGCAGAACCTGCCGTTCGATAAAATCATGGACACTCACATCTAGGGCACCAAAGTTTCAGGGTAACATCAACCAACGGTCAAAGAGGAAACGGCGCCAAATTTATTAGCCCTATGCCTTTAACGCTCGCTTCCAACATCCCTGCTCTCGGGGTCTACTGCACCCGGAAGCCAATTATAAAACATAGGACTGCGGCGCTTGCTTCTCTTTCCCAATTAAGCGTCATCCTTGCCCTCGCCATCCATGCCCTCCGCGACCCCGTCAGAGAAGCCCTGCTTCTCCGCATCCCCCCCGACCTTCCTGGCCGGCTCCATCCCAAAAGCAGCTCCTTTTACGAGGCCTCTTTTGACGGGCGCGGCGCCCTCGGCCAACGCTGTCGCCCCCGCAGCCTCCGCCGCTGCCGCCGCATCGTCGGCGGCATCCCCCGCCGTAGCTACTGCCGCGTCCGCGGCCTTCGAAGCTGCGATCGCTTTATCTTGCACCCCCGCCAGCTGCATCGCTGACACCGCCGGGGGGGTGCTCTCCTCCCCACCAGCTTCAGAGGCAAAAGCGGCCGCTGCAGCACCGGCGAACCCTCGTCCTCCGCCCCCTCCTTCCCTGCCGTCGTTTTCAGCTGAGAATGATTCGAATGTCAACCCGGAGGAGCCACCGCCGGTCACCGCCGAGGCATCGGCGGCGGCGAGGGCGGCATCTCGCCGCTTGTTCGAGATCACGCTGGCGATGACGCCGATGGCCAACAAGCCGCACACCTGACAAAAAGGCGCAACCAAGGGGAGAGAGGCGGAAGTTCCAATTACACAAAGCAGCACACCAAGTATGCATGTATTACGCACCACTGGAGTAACTGTCTACGGAAGGGTCCGTGAACATAACAACCCCGCTAAACGGGGCCTGGATTCAGCTACAGCGCCCGCGTCAACATGTCCCAACAATTGAGAAAGGGCGCCTACATTTTTGTCTGCGCATTAAAAAAAACAGCCACGCATTCGGCTTCAAAACAATCAAGAAATTGCGCCCCGCTTCGTCGCTGTTCCCCAACCCCCAGCCTGTCTACCACTCGGCAGGCTTGAAATTGGAACGCTACACAGACGAGCAACCCAACAAGTACGCAGAAAGCACCCGAGGAGCAACGACGTAAAGGATAAGGGTAAGGAAACGAGAAAAAACAAACAACATCACCCACCACTGACAGCGAGGTCCCAACGCCAATTTCGTAGTGGAAGAACTCCGCGAACATCTTGCCCCCCACGAAGCCGAGCACAAGGGCCACGGCAGGCTTGAGGTACGGCAAGTCGGAGATGGCGTGGCTCACGAGGGTGTAGATGCTTCGCATTGCGCAGATGGCGAATACCTGTTGTGCAAGTTGCAGGTCAACAATTGAAGTCGTGATGAGACGTGTGACTCGTGTACACAACTCTTACAACCTGGAGGTGCGAGTGGGGGCGTTGAGTGAACGACGTCAAGCCGCGTTTCACTTGTGAAAATCAAGCGTACAAAGGCGTGCCGTAGGCCATTCCAGCGATGCAGACAACGGGGCGTCATCTACATCGACGCGCCCTTTGCGAAAATCACGCGTACAAAGGCGTGCAGCATGTCATTTCAGTGATTACAGACAACCGTGGGGGGATGCCATTCAAATTCGGAACATGTTCGAAATCCAACAAGTAAGGCGCATGTGCGAGATAATGCGGTTCTGACGTTAATAGAATTTTTTCGGCCGAGACATGAAGCAGAAAAACCTCTTACGTTGCACCGACACAGCAATGAGCTTAATCAGAACAACGCGTGAACGAGGGAAGGGGTGGGGGGTAGGGGGGAAGCGTAGAAAAATGATAATACAACTCCCAGAAATGGGTGGGCGAGACTTGCCTGCTCCCACCACAAGACAACTGTATCGCCCTTCGGTATGCAGCTGTTTATAGAAGGGCGCACAGATCGACGAAACTGATGGAAAGTGTTCGAGAGCAAATACCCCGCAATAAACCAAAAACAAGCAAGGGAAATTCAGCACCAACACCAACGGAGCGCAAGCGCCGAACACAACCTCACAACACCAATCTCGCGAATCAAGCACCACTAACCACACCACCCACGTTAGAAGCGTAAACGATGAACGTGTCCTGAGAGATGGCAAGGACGGCCGGGATCGAATCCACCGCAAAGACGAAGTCTGTCATCTCGATGCAGATCAGGCACAGCAGAAGAGGCGTGGCCTTCTTGGCGCCGTCCACCTGGGAAAGCGTTCAAACCGAAATCGCAAGCAACGCAAACGTTACCATCAGAGAGAAGGGGACAGGCTCTCATCGAACAGAGACTTCCAAAGCGGTGCTTGAAGCGAGCATGCCATTCATCAAGACCACGGGATGTCAGACTGTGTCGCCCTACACCAGCACAACTGTACTTGAAGGCAAGCATTCCTGATAACACACCGCCAGTCGAGCAGCCCTGTAGAAGGAAGGCCGACAAAACAAGAAAAATCCACTTCCTCAAGACGTGGACGTCTCCAGGTGTCGGAGAACGGAAAACAAAATCACGGAAGTTGCGAGAAACGAATCACACCGGGCATCCGCAACGCGAAGCAAGATGGAACCACACTGACGATCTTGTGGGGATGACGGGGTGGGACTTTTCCCACGTGAGATGCTGCAAAGTGTTTGGGTGTTGCGTACAAGAGCAACATCGTACTTGTACATGTATCAAACACGACACGACAAGCATCAGCCCCTTGGAGGAGAGTGCATAATGTTTCCTCTGTGCAATATTTCATATATCAACACTACCAATGAATAGGGCAAAAGCAGCAGGAGCAGCAGCAGCAGCAGCAGATCAAGAACGCGCGTGCTTCCGCGGCTGACAACGATAACATTCACCAACAAGCACCAAAAATTAATGCTGGTTGGTGAATGTTATCGTTGTCAGCCGCGGAAGCACGCGCGTTCTTTCTCTGCTGCTGCTGCAGGACCATGAGCATTCAAAACCGGCCCAACAGGTGGTAACGTCAGCCCTCACCAGTGTAAAGAACTTCTCCCCATCGTAGTAGTCGGTCGAGTCCATCATCCAGTTCGCGACTCGAAGCACCATGTTGCCCTCGAGAGCAGAGCTATCCGCGTGGTCCTCTTCAACACCTTCCATGAGAAGCTTCAAGGAAGAAACCACCAAGATGCCGGCAAAGACCAGCATCACGCCTCTGATGAAACGACGGCGGACAGAGACAAGCAGATATCATGACGCGCGAAAAGACTAGACGGGCTCGGTGGGCACCTTGTCCTTTGTGCGACTGACGCTATGTTATGAACCAGAGAAAAAGATGCCCTGACGCAACCAGGGGTGCTGGGCAAGCCATGCGTAGGACGTCGACAAAGTGCCGGCCAGGGACGAAGATGAAAAGTCGTCAATAGGGAAAACAACAGAGGGTCTACGACAACAATCCGGGACCCCCTCCAACGCAAAGCAAACACAAACCAAGTGACTCATAACCTATGTACAGCGCATCTCAAACCGAACTTGAAAGGCTGCAAGTATGAAAGCCACTTACCGGAATCGCTGTATCGCAGCCACGCCCACGACGATCATGATCGCCCGCATCGACACGGCTCCGATGATTCCCCAGTTCAACACGCGCGACTAAAAAATGAAGAGTTCCGCCGCACATCCAGTCACACATCACCGATGGAAGAAGCGCATCGTATGCAGAAGAATCAATCGAATCAATCAACATGACCGACAGCGCAGGAATTAACGAGATAACAAAGACGGGAGGCAACGGAAACTCAGATGGCAAAAGTGTGCCATAGGCGAGGGTTCGGGGCATGTTTCTCAAGTCCAGTTGCTGCCGTGCTCCTGCCACTCAACTTCTTTTTCTCTAACTGGTTTGGTGCTGCTCTGCACAGATCACTTTTGCCGTGGTTAGTCTAATCCTTTCGATTGAACTAAGCAACGTACCTAAATACAGCCTGTTGGGCATCACATAACAAGGGTTGACCATCAACTACCCGGAATCGCCATTAGTTTCTCGTGCCTCACTCATCACACAGTGAGGGCAGAAACGTTTCCAGTGAACCAGGCCGGCCATGCCACGAGACCAAAAAACGCTAACCTTGTCAAGAAGGCCCACAGCCACAGAGACAAATCGCGATTACAGTGTTCCACACCTGCTGAGACAGCTGATTTCCTCTCTTCTGCCGCGCCTGTTTCCACCCTCATCAAGAGGACACCAACCTCTTGACGAATCAAATACCCACCCACTATCCGCAGCTCACTTCACACTCCCCCCCCTTCCCCCCTGGAAAAACAACTACCCACCTGAAACTCCGCAGGGACCTTAAAGTAGTCGAATAGCATGATGAAGATGAAGAGGTTGTCTACCGACAAGGACTGCTCGACGATGTAGCCCGCGAAAAACTCGAGGGCGGAAGTTTTTCCCTTCACGACCCAAGTGCCCATTCCGAAAGCTCCCGCTGAAACAAACGCAATGGTAGAAATCCATTGTTGAGCACCAACGTTTTTTTGGGGGGGAGGATCGTGGGAGAGGTCTAGGTGAGAAAGGAGGATGCTTTGGAAGACGCTCAAGGCGCGAGGGAGGCGGAGAAGGGGGACATGAATACGCACGCACTGATTGCGGTAGCCTTTTAGATGTTGGTATGTCTCCAAGCGTTGGGACGGCGCCTCATCCCCAACCCAGAGTCAGAGTCACGATCAACGGTACTAAATAGAAGAGAGGTGAGCCGGGGGGGGTGACTTGTTAATGAAGATTGGAGATACATCGACGATCGCAGAGGGGAAAGAAACAATCTCCGAGCTATGAGGGTAGAACAAAACAAATACCCCTCCTTTCCCTTACCATTTTCGATGGTCCTTTCGATGGCGTTTCCGATCCATGTACTACGTACGGCCATGGCGGCAAGCTGCTTCAAGTTGCATTCAACTGCTGACCACCACGTTCGCAAAAAATAGCTGACAGTCTACCGAAAAGGTGTCAACAGGGGGTAATCAGGAAGCAACAACTACCCTGTTACTCTCGGCATGGTCGGCCCTCACCACACAAACACGACGCAACCAAACGCAACTACTGCTGAACGACTTCAAACGGGTTCAGGGTTGTAGAGGTGCACGGGGGGTAGCGGGGCCAAGACCACAGGTGCGCTCCGCAAAATTGCACTCAAGGTGACTAAGAAGAGATCCAGAACCAGAGTTGACACGCTTTCGATGGACCATCGTTGCTTGAACTGTAACACGAAGCACGTTTTCGAACAGCAGTGGGATGCACGTCGTCCGCATCTTTCTTGCGCGCTTAGCTTACCGGAGCAGACGAGTAGGGCCGTTCTGAGAAGGGCAGTCCGGTAGGCCTGCTTGGCAACATCTGCTGAGGAAGCCACGTTTTCTCCTCCTGTGGTGCGGGGTGAAAACAACATGGTGGCAGTTATGGCCCAACGCAGGGTAGTGAAGGAGTTTTGTTGGACGGCGAATCTACTCACTGTTTGGACCTTGAAGTTGTGTAGCATTCAGTTGTTCTTGGAGTTGCGTTTTGTTGTAGGACTGGCATGTGGTGCACATTAAATCGCCGGTCTCCAGAAAAAAGGAATCATTACGACCATTTCCACATAGATGCATGTGGGCAGCAGGAAACGCGCAAGATCTAGATTTGACGCTTCTTGCTTGGCCTGACACGCTTCGGAACGAACACGATCGACAAGCCTTTTTCTAGTGAGGGGTTCATGTGCTGTCTCGTAGGAATAATGTTCTAAATGCTCCAAAGCTACTCGATGTACTTCTAGCCGTTGAGAAGGACCATCTCGCCCGAGGGGCGTAACGAAGAAGCGCGTGTTTCCCGCCTTGGTAGTTTCGCATTCAATGGTGGCGATGACCGTGACGGTTTCTCCAGCGGCCAAGGAGGCTGCAGGTGGGTTTATTTGCACAAACGTATCCATGTACCAAGAAAGACAGCAAGCAACAATTGTGGTTGTATATATATGTACCAAGAAGGCTGTATATATCATACAACCACAATTGTTACTTGGAGTCTTCTTGGTACATTAATATACAACCACAATTTTTGCTTGCTGTCTTTCTCGGCACATGGATCCGTTCCTGCGACGAAACCCGGCTGCAGCCACTTGGCCGCAGGAGGAACCCTCACGATCCTGGCAAACATTAAATGCAAAACTTCCAAGGCTAGAAACACGAGCTTCTTCTTTACACCCCTCGGGGGAGATGATCCTTCTCAACGGCTACACACACCAGTACTGAGGTGCTTTGGAGCGTTTCGAACGACATGATACCTGCGAGACAGCGCATGGACCCTGACCTAGATGTAGAATTGTCGATCGTTTTCGTGCCGAAACATATCAAAGACAACGAGGCCAAGCAAGAAGCCACAAATCTACTGGTAGACTGTATGCCTTCCCTAAAAGCCGAATGCACGAGGACGTGGTCGTTGTCGCGAAAATCCCTTGTGTTGGGAGACCGGCGAGTTTATCTGCAAATTATTCCAGTCCTTCAACTGAAAAACAATTGTACAATATTCCTGCCGCGGTCGTTGAGGCAATAGTATAGTGCGCACGGTTTGTGCACGGACTTCCAAGACACGTACGACAGCCCTTGATGCTTGATACCTCAAGAAAAACAATGGTGCACACATGGACAGGGAGGGTGGTCAATGGTTCTTAAGATTCCTCTCAGGTATTTATCAAGTACCAATTCAATCAATCGAGACATACTTCAATACATTCCTCCGAAAGCTACATAACTCGAACGGCTGTGCATTCCTCTAGCATCGTAAATGTGCTAGTGTTTCGTGTCTTGTAACATCGTACTTACTACACATGAGCGCCAAGTGCTGCCGAAAGGTCTCGAATGGCGAGTCGGACCACACAGTCACCCAAGGGGCACAGAGCTGCCCAACATCGCTAAACACCCCGAACAAACTACCCGGAGAGAGCTGCAAAAATAATACGCGTAGAGCACAGACCCTACGGCAGTAGCTTCCCCCATGGTCCTCGCTGGCGAGATCCCGTACCATGGCCTATAGAACCTTTGTAGCAGCACTGAGACCGCATTTGACTGCCGGGTAGCCCAGTGGATACAACGAGAAAAAAACACGCCCGCCGTACACAGAAAGGTCGCCCGGTTTAAATAAGAAGTACATGTTTCTCACCTTGGGTGTTTCGCCTTCGATGGTGCCGAGAAACGCAAGGGTTCCTCCGGCGGCCAAGCTAGTCTCAGCCGGGAGTTCCTTCAGAGGTGGGGATCCAGGAAAATCCAGTAGGGTTTCCTGGATCCGGACCTCCGAAGAAATCCCAGTCAAGGCTACCTTGGTCGCCGGAGGAACCCTCACGCTCCTTGGGACTATCCAATAAACGTGAGAAACATGCAGTTCTTCTTTATAAACCCCTTGGGCGAGGTCATCAGCTTTGCATATTGAGTACAGAGATTAGCTTCCCCCATAACCTCAGCAGGCGAGATGCCAGGTCATGACCTTGTGCTTTTATAGACGCACTTGCTGAGACCGACTGCCGGTAAGCGCGCGGGGGGTGAACCCTCCCCCCCCAAAAACACACGCTCCTGCGAAAGGATACCGAGCCAAACCTCCTCGATGACAACCAAACCGTTGTTCAACCCGGCAACAGATGACCTACCAGATACCCGGGATAGCAGTCCTTGGGAAGACATTCACAGCAGTAGTCAATACCTGCGTGAAAGACTGGACTAAAAAGAACAAGTGTAGTCTAGACTTTCCAGCGTATGTGACATACCCCGTCACACCAGCAGGTGTGTAACAACAGCAGTGAATACAATCACCGAACACGTCCCAAAGGTTCAGTGACGCCGAATTGGAGCACAGGCTCCTCGTGCGGAGACACAGAAAAAAACTGCCCAACTTGTGCAGCAAAAATCCGGTCGGCTGACCGCAGAAAATCCGGGGAGAAGCCCACCTCACAGCAGAAGTGCTATCGTAGAGTAATAAAGATATTTTCCCACAAAATGTACGCATGCGTATGTCACGTATCCAACCCACGTGGTACACGTCAACCGCCGTCGCCGCGTGCCTCTCTGATTTTTCGGAGATTTTGCGCGAAAACATATGTACATGTGTATCGATAAGAATTTGGTCTGCTGCTTCAGTTCCAGCGTGAACGTCCCTCCAAGAGTCTCGGGCCCACAAGAACACGCGCGGCACAGAGGAGGAACGCCATGATGGCGGGTGGTGTGGCTCTTTGTTGTGGTTCGGTGATATATATGACCTGCCTCTCTGTAGTAGCATTTCGGCACATAATCACACACTTCAAGACGCCAAAAACCCAACAACGGCATCACGCCAACACCTACACTGATGAAGGGGGGCAGCCATACTGCTGTCCCTGACACCATGGCAGGGAGAAGGTAACAAACAACATGGGCGGCACCGTTCGCGACTGCAGGGCGGAGACACACGTACGTCCAGCAGGCTAATCAAAGTAAGGAGCAAGCAAACCAAGACACACCTCGCCGACTAACAAGCTCGTTTGATGACGAGGCTCGTCCCAGTTGCCCCCACCCCTTCTTCGCGACCCCCTTTCCAGTACTCTGCTTTCCAAGGCATGAACCCCCTCCCCTCCTCTCTCCTCCTGTTGCTGTTGCTGCTGCTGCCAATGTGGAAGCTGCTGCTGTTGATCCCCCCCGGCAGCACAAGGCGGCACGAGTCAAACCCCTATTTTGCCACGCGAGCGGTGCACCCTCGTTGTGGCCGTGGGGCGGCGTTTGAGCCTGCCGTAGCCTCAGTGACAATGTTTCACATCTTTCATTCGCTACCAGGCCCCTGGCGGAGCCCAATACAAGCAGGACCGAACAGCGCACCCGCATTGTTGTGTACGTATGTTGGTCACAACAATTGCATGCTGATGCGGATGCAAGATGGAGCCCGCCAGGAGCTTTGGACCCCCCGGAAATTCTGCGAAGCCCCCAGGAGGGTGCGCGGAATGCATGGTTGGGATGTGGGGAGATGATAAATGATAATGGCACGTCCATGCCAAATTTTTGACATGGAGGGGACAAAACTACCCCATCCCCTGTACCAGAACGTCACATTTTGTGCCATAAAACCACCAAACAATTGGCCAGTTTTGGCGGCGCCACAGCAACAGCCACAAGCACGTGCTGAGGCCGACAGACGCAGAAAGGGAGGGCCAGCTCTATAGGGAAGACTGTCTCTACTACCAAAGCCGAAGAGGGAGCGCCAGTCGGCCGTCTGAGAACAAGAAAATCATGCTGTATCTCCTGTATCTTTGGTCTCTTGNGTCCATGCCAAATTTTTGACATGGAGGGGACAAAACTACCCCATCCCCTGTACCAGAACGTCACATTTTGTGCCATAAAACCACCAAACAATTGGCCAGTTTTGGCGGCGCCACAGCAACAGCCACAAGCACGTGCTGAGGCCGACAGACGCANAAGCCGAAGAGGAAGCGCCAATCGACCGTCTGGGAACAAGAAAATCATGCTGTATCTCCGGTATCTTTGGTCTCTTCTTGGTCTCGACCCACACATGTTCTGCCTTACGGCGCAGCACAGCACAGCTTTGCCTTCCTCTCCGAAGACTAGCAAGTGTGTTGTGGTGGTGGTGGAGTATGGTAGCCAAGGGCATGATGACGTGGAACTGCTGGGAGTAAAGCCGGAGAGGGAGCGCCATAACAGATGTCAAGACAATGGGAAAATGCTAGACTAGTCTACACACTGTACACTCGGCATGAATGCAGTCTATCTCACCACCTTGTAGCTAAATGCTGTTCGACATCTATCTTTCCACGCATTTGCCTGTACGTAGTCTGATCGTGGCATTTCCCGTCTTCTTAGTCTCCACTCAGACAGAGTGCGAAGGAGGAATCCTCGAACCAAGAACACTCGAAGCAACAACAAGATAATTCGAAACAAGCAAGCAGCGAAGCGCTGCGTGAAGTATCCTTACATCGCTGATGTACATCAACGAAACAAAATCTGTTCGTGTGTTTGGATACGGACAGGTATTGATCGACCGCAGTAACGGATATATTAGCAGATAGGAACGTAGACATACCATTTTGGGGTTCTTGTGTTTGTGACCCCTGCTTCTCTGTTTTCCGGAGGCACTCTTCTTCTTCTCTTCTCTTGCTTCTGCGTTTCTAATACAAGCGATATTCAGTCTCTCCCTTCCAAGTCGCGGA